GTAGTAAAGATATCAGAGATTGTGCATGAATTGATCCTCAACTTAGTGTTTGAATTGTATTTGTTAAAGTTGCATTTTCATTTTAAATTGTATGATCTGCCGAAAACGTTTCACTCACCCCTGTATAAATCATAAGAGATTTTGGTTTTGTACAGTAGGTGGAAAATTTTATCCAACAGAATTCTGAAATGGAACTTAAAATATATGCAAATATCCTTGAGTGACATTGAAAAGTATGTTTGATTTGGTGATAACATACCGTGACCTTGTTGTCAAATATAAGCGAGTTTGAAATATTACCCACTGATTTTATAATTTTTCGTGATGTTCGAATAATTCGTGAACAATGTCTGCACGTAATACAACGTAACATAAATGGAATGCTATGAAACCTGATATATTGTCATATCTGATTCGAAAGTGAGTGGCTTGAAAGCGAAGAATATATTAGTTTTAATAATGTTTAGACAAATATTGGCCGTACTGATTATACTGAAGTAATTATAAAAAAATATGTTTTCATTATGAGTTATGTACATTATATGTTTCCTGCGACTGATTTCCCGGGCTTCGCTGTTCCAAAATTCGGCCAGATATGTTAAATATTGACAATGAACTTGATGTGGTTTTACGGGTTTGTTTGTGGTGGTATTTATGATAGAGGTGCTAAAAGTACTGTCAATCTTGAGCCAATGCTAATCTGAAGATTGTACGGGAGCATCCTGTCTGTTGACAGTTGTTTTTTCGACGTATAACGTTCTGACTTGTATATACGTATCGACTCAACTGTCACCAGTCTTAGATACACCTAAAAGTATATGAAAGTATTTCCTGTGGCTATATGATCAATCACAAAGGTGATACATCCCACAATGCAACTTTACGAGGTAGTTAGAGAGTACAGGGGAGACAGAGTGCATGGTAGAGTGAACGACATGAACGCGATTCCCAGATGGTACCTTCTAAGCCAAGCTTATAACCCAATTCAACCCAGACAGCGTCACTTATTTTTCCCTGACGATGAACCACATCCATCCTTCCAACCAACCCAAACCCCAGAGCAAGCCCCGCGAACCCGATAACATGGTGGAGAATCCAAAGGTGATATTTGAACTGCTCAACAATATTTACACAAGTCACTGTATGTCGTTTCCATCATTTATAATATAACACACACCCAGAGTTGTACGTTCCGAGGCCTAATTATACATCAATGCAGAGTGGTGAGCCGTACTGAACCGATCTGTCGTTCACTCAGTCTCCGACCTTCTACCCTGCACTCTGTCTTCACTGTACTCTCTAACTCTGACTCTACCTCGCAAAGTTGCATTGTGGGATGTATCGTGTTACCTTGAGATCAATACGCACTCTTGCGTAATCATGCGAAATGGAGTGCGCCCGCAGCGACTGATTAAATCCAATTCGGACTGCAATCACTCTGTGATTGCTCATATCCTCGGGGCAGACATCCGGGTATTTTCTACCGCCTGGCAACCCTCGCGGTGAAAACAAAGACCAAAAACTCGCAGAAAACGGTACTTTGCGATGGTTGTTGAGAGTCCCCTGAACAGTGTAATAAGATTAGCCCTACGTGTGTAACATATATGAATTTGGAAGTTTAGGATTACTTCAAAGTTGAGTTTGTGTTGTTTTCTCGAGTTTTCACCGGCTCCACCGGCGTTCCACAGCAGCGCGCACAAAGCCCATAGAAATACGTGGTACAGTGGTGCGCGTCTTAGCAACGTAGAACGTCCGTGACGTAGCTCCGCCCCCTAGGATGGCCAAAGGGAATACTTTCATATAAAAAAAAATGTTTTGTTGCCCTCAGCGACCGACCGAAAAATATTAAAAACTCACCATTTTAAGCAGCCTGAGTAAAAAAAGTGTTCCCTCTAAAAATTAACGATTCTGGACCGTTGGGGTCTCGGGTCTTTTTAAATACAAAAGACTGAAAGAAACACTTTGATTTTTGTGTTTAATATCTAGCATGCGTTTGTATGATTCCAATATACCGCGGCAATTTAGATACATTTAGTTTTCACGCCGAGTTTTAAAAAAAATCCGACCGACCGACCCAATTTTCCGCCTCGAGGGCAACATAAGTTTGTTTGTTTTTTGACCTAACATGGCAGCTAACATGATTTGATTCATCCATTCAAAGAGAAAATCATGTGTTGGGGATTTCTTCTAAGAACTGTCTAAGAACTCATTTATTAGTTTAAATACTGTTTAGAAAACAAATTGATCGTGCTGATGACTGTGAAATAATTCTAAAAATATGTTTTTATGTTGATTTACGTATATCACACGTTTCCTGCAACTGGACTACGTCACGGTACGACTTACTGACAAAAATCGCTACTATTCTAAAAAAAATCATCAAACCACTAAGTATCTAGCAAAGTGAAGAACAGAATAAACAAATACTTGGGAAAATTTACATTTTCAGAATGCACGAAACACCTCATGA